CGCTGGTATAGAGGATATTTCCAAGACCATTAGTACAGTACATCATGTTTTTCTTGAAAACTTTTCGTTGTAGAAGGCTGGGAAAATCTATTTACAATCAAAGCATATGTGAGTCGATTGGAGACATTGTCATTGGTCGGGATCCAACAGAAATAGGACCAACGGATCTGACATAAAATTTACATATTGGAACAGCAGACGAATTGAATATCGTTGGATAGAGCTTTTTATAAGAAACAACTTTTATTAGAAAAATTGTTTATTATCTCTTACCGATTACAAAATAAACTAAACTTTTATTTTGCTGTTTACGTAATAAACAGTCAACACGAAAAAGTTGTTACAAATGTGAATTAAGTCTTAGATGTTGAAGTAACCTCCGTTTTGTTTTAAACCTTTTAGAATGCTTTCTTGGATATCACCTTGTGCATGAAGAATCTCAGCTATATTGAGAGCTTCAGGTATCAGGCATCAAGAACATGTATCAGACATGCAAACCTAATATCTGTTTTCACGTCTTCATACGTTGTCCTCGTTGTGCCTAAGTCTCTGACACACGATCTCTTTAATCCAGCTTCATAACTAATAGTTCATGCACGTTAAATCATAGTGGATATGATACTATTCCAATCTTTCTCAGAGGAAACTTTCGATTCAGAATTTTCCGAATAATTCGAGCAAAATGTGCTGGGCAACCATCATGCTGAAACAATGTCTTCTGTCTAACCGTTAGTGGCACATCTCCCAGAAGTTCTGGAAACATATTATTAATAACAAGAAAATCTGCATAATATTTTCCATTCAAAAGCATTTAAAAGAGAATGAAGACCGATTACTTGATCTCTAATAATACCACACCAGGTATAAAAAATCCAAGGAAACTTTATTAAGGAAACTTTCAAGGAAAAAAATAGAAAATCTTCTTAGAGAGATTTTCTTCCGCCCAGTAATGAACATTGTGTATATTGACATTCCCATTGCTTTTAAATGTCTATCTATCGGACTACAGAATTTGCCAGTGAAAAAGCGGGTTTCTGTTCAGCGCCCGGTGACAAAACTTTTTGTGATTTTGAAGATTGATGTCGCAAATCATATAGTGCTGTAATGCTATGTGATACTATGTGTAATGAATGCATTCCATTGTCATTTAAAATTCTCTCAACATTCGGATGGCTCATACCAGAATCCAGAGATATTCTTCGAATGGAATCATGAGGATTAACAATAACTACAGTGAGAGCATCTGCCATCTGTTCTTGGCACATCAAAAAACGTGAATTGTTTAAAAAAAAGGCATTTTTGAAATATGTATTGATTTCAAAATGCAAAAAGAATTACATAAATCTGACAAATGACGAAAAATTCTTACTTTTTATGCAATTTCTTCGGCTTCGACAAAAAATAATATGAAGAATCCATTAATGCCAATATCGTCAATCGATTTTTCTTACGGGTTTTGACAATAGAAATATCCCAACCTTCGACGACGAACAGTTTTCAAGAAAAACGTTGTACAGATGGTCGAAACATCTTATATTTATTTATTTATTAAATAGTCTATCTCAATATTTCTATGATTGTCAATTACTAAATATTTTACAAATATTTCATGAAACTTTCAGCCCCATTAAAAAATACTTCAAGTAATATAAAACAGAAAGTTCATGGACTCATGGGCCCTCTTACTGTTCCCTACGGATCCCTACATGACGTATGTGAAGATGCCAGCAAACAGGATGATAGAAGTTGCAAAGAAAATGTTGGATTAATTGCCAATGAGAGATATCAGACAACCACGTTATTTAGCATTTTGCCATGGTTTCCACCGGTATGTATTAATTATTTTATCATTAGTAAATATTAGCTATTATTGATTTAATAAATAAGTTAATGTTTTCAGAATTTAATCATCTTAATCTATCTGAATGTTTTATTTTTTGAATTTCATAGATATGCCTTAACGTTAAGTTCAGCATAGTAGATGAGGCTACCCAAGAAACGCACGTCTGTTTTAGAATTCCTGTAAAAATAATGAATTGTAACCAACAGACTGAAACCATTTGTAACTAGTAACTGTAACCAATTGTAAATCATACAAAGATTTATGATTTATTATGTTTTTAAAAAATGAAATTACTAAAAATAAATTATAATACTTGTGTTAATCAATATAGTCTTCACTGTAATTAAAAATATTTTCAATAAACTGTTTTAACAATAAAAATTGTTACAATTGTCCAAAAAATTTTCATAATTTATACAACTTGAATTTATATATTTGAATTATCATTTATTATAATGTTGATTTTGCATAAATTTACACAACCTTTTTTTCTTAATATTTAGAATAGCATTTAATGTGATTTGGAAGAACACAAAACTTAAATACAGTACATTCATTTCTAAAATATTACAATTTATAACATGATTATCAAAGCCAGGATATAGGAAGCAATTAATATCATTCACAAAGTACAATTATTCTACTGTACAGCTTAAAATATAGTTAAAATAAAAATTTAATTAATTTTCTGTATTGAAGCGTGTGATAAACATTAGAAATGTCTTTTGATGATAATGAATACAAGTCAAGTACTGTACTAATTTATATTTTCGTCTGTCCAAAATGTTTTATATACAAAATAATGTTATGAAATACAATGGATTATCGGTTAACTAACAAATCGGATAACGAACACTTTCGCTAAAGATTTTTATGTTCGGACAACGAACACATGATCGGATAACGAACACATCACAGAACAAACACAATAAGAAGGGACGTAAAATAATGAATACCGATTGATCTTCCCTTGTCTTCAGATAACAATTCGAAACTTTTTGGAGCGCGGGAGACGTCGACATTGACGGTCAACTCGTTATATAGGGGAGGACGGGGCAACTTCGGCACGATAAGAATAATTTAAATTTAGTATAACAAATATTGCTGTAAACTGAAAGAAAAACTTTGTTTATAGTCTACTAGAATGTTACCTTACTATAGAACTGGTTAAAATCAATTTGGAAATAAATATAATCATAAGAGTAATAACTTTATAAAAAGATAGCAGTTGCCCTGGTATACGGGCAACATCGACAACAGTAACGGGGCAAGATAGACAGGTATATAAATTTGTGTTATTGACAATGTATAAATTGGAATTCACTATTAAATGAAAGAAATGCAAGTCCAAAAATTTATTTAATATTATAACAACGAAATTCTAGTTAAAAGACATGTATAAAGTAAAGAAAATGTGAACAAAAATTAATTACAAAAAAATGAAACAGATAATAATGAAAACATCCTAATGCAAGTTAAAAGCAATACAAATGAATTAGTGAACTCAAACAAACAGTAGTAATGAAATATGCTTAACAGCAAATTGTTTATGCCCTACACATATCGCAAATAAATTGAACCAACTCATTTGCTGTATAGTTCACATGAGCCCACAGTTCACACTTGCAGCACATAATTCACTTTTCCTGAGTAGTTCCATATTGTTCATTGCAATTTTTAAATATATTTTTTCCAGTTTCTGAGTGCCATACACATTCATCGCTATCTGTCTTGGTAGAAGTTTCAGCAGCAAAAAAACACCTTCTTGTGAAATTAAGATGAAAAATCTAATACAATAAAAATTCACTGTCTATCTCACGGGCTAACTCAATAACGTGAATGTTTAAGTATAAGTAGATACGCTAAGTGTTTGTTAATCACAGCGCAAACTATTCGATTTGGTTGTTTTCGACATGACGTCAGAGTCGAGTTTTATGGTTGCCGCTGCTTCCATTTATTGCTTATTTGAAAGGAATTTTAATAATTGAATGTTTAAAATTTTATGCTGCATATAAATGTACTATAAAGGTTAGAGACTCATTAGTTTGATTTTAACCAGCAATTTAATGTTGTAATGAGCTATATTTCTATCGATCTACAACACACACACACACACACAAATATATATATACAGTAGAGCGTCGTTTATCCGAATCAATTGGGGACTGGGGTGTTCGAATTACTTATTTTTTGGATAACCGATTATGTACGAAAAAATATATTAACCTATCCCGTGTTGAAATTTTTCTCCGTTGCGTGTCGCTTCGCGTTGAATTTTCGTCGATGTTAAGCCTAACGTAAACTTTTTAAAATAATAATCGTGGCTATTGTATCGTTAAAAATTATTTCTTTATGTTTTACAAACGAAATAAATACATTGAAAAATATAAAAACAAATAAAAATTATACTTTAGGCCGACTGGAATGCTTTCGGATAACCGACGTTTTGGATAACCGACTTTCGGATAAATGACGCTCTACTATACTGGAATTAAATTTAATAGAGACTATAGGCCTAATATAAAAAAAATCGTATAAATTTTCTTATAATAAACATATGAAACCTGTCGATGACATTATTTGGTTATTATTTAAAACAAACAAATATAACCAATTTTATTTTTCTCTATTTATCTGCGGTTTTAGAGGACCAATGCCATCGGCGTTCAGTAAAATATTGAAGTCCTCCCAAAATTTTACCTTAAATGAGATATGTAATTCTCGAGATATCATATTTTTACGTTTATCCAAAAAACTAATCGTTAGTTCGAGCAGCCTTGACGTTACTAACTTCTCTGCCATATTACTAAAAAAACTAATGCAGGCTAAAAAAGACGCAACAGATCCGACGAGGGTGGGATTCGAACCCACGCGGGTATAACCCAATGGATTAGCAGTCCATCGCCTTAACCGCTCGGCCACCTCATCCGGAGGAATAACCCTATTTTTCGATACATGCATTTTTGCCAACCACATGAATAAATGAAAGACATCGTCTGTACGAACGGACCGACAAAAGACAAAGCAAGACCCTGAATCAGTTTTTATTTTTGCATTTTTTTTTTATTTACAGTGGTGCCTCGTATAACGGACGCTGCGAATAACGGACTTTCTGTTTGACCGTTACGTGACTCGAGCAACGGACTTGCTGCGAACAACGGACTTTCCGTTCGGCAGTTACGTGAGACGAACAATGGACTTTTTTCGAACAAGTGCGAATGATGTTTCCACTCTTTTGCCGTTGCCAATGACAATTTGCTATTTTAAGGATATATTAGTATTATTAGAATGTATTATTAGTATATCTGAAGTAGAAATATAATGTAATATATGTTGATGATTTAAATAAACATTAAATGTAATGTAATACAGTATATGTTGACGATTCAAATAAACGAAATGTAGTTGTGTAGATGCCGAGGTGGCGGGACGAAAAGAGGTTGTAAAAAACAAACGGAGCGAGAGTAGCTCGTTGAAGTGTTTAGTGATCTTAATTAATAGAGAATTATTCGTATCATATAATCTGGCAAGTTAAGTCATTTATAATGCATCATGGCTT